TAAGAGCGGACGAGGATTTCAGAAAAGAGATAAAGCAAATCCGTAACAATGCGAAGCAAGGAACAGTAAAGGCGATCATGTGCTTCCATGAACGTGAAATACAGAGAAGAAAACGAGCCAAAACGGCTGGAACACTGAACACTAAGAACTGTAGTACGATCGAATCAGCGCGCGTGGCACACTGAGCTGAAAGCAGTCAAGACAATGTAACGATCGAGACAGTGAAAAAAAATGCTGTTAATCTCCAGGAAAAAATCGCTCAGTTCGGCAGTATGATGAAAAGACTATGAATAATGGAGAATAAAGAATTTGAAAAGTACACACGTGTATTCTCTGACTCCCAATACAAACATGGGACCAAAAAACGAATTTCAAAAGCCAAGCGGCTAGCAACTAACACAGAAAAGTCAGACGCCAAACGCGTTCAACTATCAAACTAGAGGCGAACAAAACGCACATTAAAAACCTCTCAAATAAAGAACTTACAAACGGCCAGGTTAATTTGCTGGAAAAAGGGCTTAAATTCATTCCAACACCCGCTACAAAACAAAAACAGATCAGACAATATCTATTGTGTGACTTTGATCAGTTCGCAAGGAGAATGCGTCTTATTTACATTTTCCGAGGGGAGGACAAAAAAAAACCCATCCCTGCCACGTCAAATCTACATGGATACCACCAATGCAAAAATCAGTAGCCCTTGAAAGCTATTTAGAATAGGAATTACAAACCCAAAAGATAAATTGCTTCCGGCCGAACGCAAGGCGCTGAGGACCCTTTGCAATGCAGAGACAAATGCGATAAGGGCTTTTAGTTCACACCTTTGATATTTGGTGTCACGTTGTAATTAGTATCCGCTTTTGTATTACATCATACTCTAAATATTTTATTCATCTACTTGTCTGTTATATAATTACTCACGTTCTGTTACTCATTGATTGAAGATGGCATAAGCATGCCGAAACACGTCTCTCAAAAAAGTTGTCTATTTCTTACAATAATTAGCATTAAAATGGATGGATCTCTGCAAGCTTTGTGTGAACTTGAGGAGTCAACAAAACTGAGAAAAGAGTGACATTTTTACGCTCGGTTTGATCGATCTTAAACACCCCTTTTAAACGCTGATCGATCTTAAAACGATCTTAAACGTTGATCGATCTTAAACACCCCTCCGGGCAACCCACGGGCATTTGACGGGCGTCAGGGCCGGGGATGAGAAATTGCGACCTTTCTTTGGAGGATTGGAAAATTTGAACCTCGGCTAAGTGAAGTGGTGAATTTGAACCTTACCTGTTAAGTGTTTGCAGCGGAATAAACCCGTTTTATCTTTCAATATGGAGGTGTTTCAAGTTGATAAGTTCACTCAGTGAGACGGCTCAGAAAATGGTCTACACATACTTTACCCCAGTTTTGAGCAAAAGGCGCCCTTTGAAGCCTCTTCTCTTAGAATCAAAGGAAGAGGCCAGACATGTTTTATCTTGGACAGGAACCGCACGCACGATAGCCTCTATTTCGCGGATGAGTCTATCATGGCACAAATCAGAAGAAACATAATTTTATATCCTCTGTGTTTTGTTATCACTCGTTTGGGAAGCGAAGTGAACAGGCCATAAATCCAAGTGGAAAAACACCAAGGCTCCGCAACTCACAGTATGGACCGAGAAAACGAGGTAAGCAAGACTTCTATTATATCTCTGGGTACAAACAGAGCCGAAATATTTCATTTCAAACGAACTTTTAAACTTAGTGGGCCGCCGGTACAGTTAAATAAACATGTACTAACTGAAAGATATAAAAAAGTTTCCTATCAGTACCATTCTTCCGATGTTATTTCTATTAACTCGCACGACGGACTTGGCTTGGAATGGAAGGCTGCCCGTTTTCCAAAACAATTTTTAATATGGAGCATCAAAAAGAATTCTAAATTCTTTTCGGTTTTGTCAGTTACTTTGTTTTATGTTTCGTCCACAAAATTCGCGCCATCCTTTTGATCAACTGGGGCCCAGTTGTCCAAAACTTGGATAACGCTTTCCAACGGATAAATCGCTATCTAGAGGATAATGACGATCACTGTTCATGAAACGCACTACGCTTCCTACCGGATGGAGATTTGTCCCCTGGATGGCGTTATCGAAGAACCGGGGCCAGCTCAGATTCAAACAAAAACAAACTGCGTCAAACAAAGCGCTTGTATTCACCTCTTAACTCTTAATTCAAGTTCACAGTCCAAGGTAAACAAGATTTATTAAGTAAGTCAATGGGAATTTTCTCTGACGATTACAAACTGTAACAAACTGCGAATAGTTGTCAAATAACGTGCATATTGTTTGGGGTATATAAACTAAAAAGTGTTGAGCTTTATAAGCGCAAAGCTGCAATCCAAGATATAACAGTTACCTATGTGCCTTTGCCATTTTGCAAACCAACAGTTAGAGGGACACGTGGGAGAGAGAGGGGAAAAAACTTGTCCAACAAACAAATTTGTCTGGCAGCGTGGCTGGATTCCATTTTATTTGAAAAACAAGGCCACTACGACAGACAGAGAGGCAACCGTGATTTTCCAATAGAAACTCTTGAGCTTAGCTGCTTTACCGGAGCTTATCATCGTCAGGGTCTCAAAACCCTTTTTATCGTGTCTTGAGAGGGAAGTTACAGCGTTTCTGTATGCCCACACGACAATTATTTCACCTTTCTGAAAAACAAGAGAGAAAAAGAGATTTAAACCATTAATACAACAATCACTAAACTGGACTGAATAGATAAAATACGAAAACTATGGTTTGCTCCTCTTGATTTTCCCAACTGGGGGGAAATTGTTACCACTCCAGCTGGACTGAAACTGACTTAACAAAGGAGGTCCGTCAGACAAAAACATTCGAAATCAGGTAATGCATGCGTACTCGTGAAGATCATTAGGGATTCCTTCGTATAATTCTCCTACGAGTTATGGTATAATTCGAATAAATCTGCCGGCAAAGAAACCTTGCATAAAAATGTACTCTTTCACTGTCACCCTACCACGACTGCAGCTACCGTAGCAGAGTCGACCTCGCAAAATAGTTAATTTAGCCATGAACCACTCTGCCCCGTGGTCCCTGCATTGCAGTGTATCACATCTACTAGGGGCAAGAGGTCGTCGTTGACCGGGTGTGACATGATGTATCAAGTCATCCCGCGTTTTGTAGTCAAGAGACTAGGAGTACTTCAACTCCCACTAGATGGGATCGGCTAGTACACGACAGGCATTTTGTTACGTTTCTCTGATTGTTCGTCAATTTCCCTTTATACTCCTGAATGTATAGAGAAGCACTGGTTACCAGGGAGAATGGAGTCTCTCGCCCAAGAACAAACCCCAATAGTCTAGCACAGGCTTGGGCGTAGATCTCTGACAGTTTCGAAGTCGAAAGCAAAAACCAGCTGGCCACCATGTCTAGCAAACTACCCTGGTTGTACTTCCATTTTAACAAAAGTGATGCTTGAACAAAATGCGATCTGGTTGGCTCCTGAATCAGCATAAATCATCACGACTGGAAGCCATACACCCGCTAAATTTCAGTAGTAACTGATATCATAATGTGTAAGAATATCACATTTCTGCTGATAATGAGCCGCTGTTGGGCTGCCACTCGCGATAACATAATTTAATGGTAGCCATGATGGCCGCCGACAAATTCCTCTAATTAAAACTACAATGGAAAATAGTTAACCTCAATAACGATATCTTGTGAATCGCCAGTATTAACCTTCCTGTGGTACTTAATTGTAGTAGTACCACCATTTAGCATAGCCTCGTCAAGCATACAGTCATTGTGGCTGTCTTCAGGAGGTGAGTTGCGGCTTTTCGTCAAATAGTCCTGAAAGTAAAAAAAGAAAAAAAAAGGTTCAGTGCCTCATGGTCAGTTCTATACTGAAATTTATATCTGCTTCTTCCTTGAAAAATTCTACGTAAGTATCCTCACCTGGGCAACAGTTAAAAGCCGCTACAGCAAGAAACAATACATATATCAACCACTGGGGAATTATATTGGTCGCTTAGTTTAGCGCTAACGATTGAGAAAGTCTTAGTTCAAACTGATCGATTTTGGCTTCCTTGACTTTGCCGAATGTCGGAATGTTTCACAAGTATTAAAGATATTACGCACCTGCTTTTTTAAGTTACGTTTTTCCCTTGTTTAATCGCTACAAAGTAGTACCGAGACTGAAAAGTACCCTTTGTGATGGCAAAATTTGTCTTAGTTCAAAAAAAATTCCCGGCACATTACCTCGCGTATAGCTTAAGGGCACACATTTCGCGGCACTTAAATTTTTCAATTTTGGAAAATTACGTGTGCTGAATTAATTATACGTTTTAGACATAGCCAAAATTTTCTCTCCTATTAAGATAATTTTCCGTACTGTATGGATTCAAAAAAAACGATCAAAGGAACAAAAACATCAAGTTAAATAAAAACGCCGCGATGGGAAAATGGATGTGTGAAAAGTAACTTGCGAGTCTTACAAGCTCGCTGCTTTGTACTTTGGATAACGACCATCTGGAGCTTGCATCGCTCAGATTTCAGATAAGAAGAAAAAACACCATTAACGTTACTTCTTAAACAGAGTCTTTGAAGCTTCAAAACGTTAAGTCATTCGACTTATTCAACAGTTACGGTCTATTGCTGAAGCCTGGAACAATTATCTCTTGGAAGGTTTGAGAAAACGTCAAAATGGATAGTCGAGGCCAGAACTTAAGAAAGAGCGAAAATTCTGGGAAAACCAGCTGCAGAAGGCCAACATTTACACTTTATTATAACAGCACGAAAACAGCACGAGAGTGCACACTTCTCTTTTTTCTTTATCTATTTACGTGACGTTGCCATGACAATAACATGTAATTTGTTGTAGTTTGTCCAAAAGAAAAACAAATATACATGTTTCAGTTTCTTTGAACAATCATGAGAAAAATATGCATGCTTAAAACAAAGCTTAAGGATTTTCTGTGTAATTAACTTTGAATTTTACTTTTGATATTTCTTCTATGTATATACTTTCCTAGTTTTTATCTTATTATGTATATTGTAAAAGTTTTTAGGGCTTTTATTATTATTTTGCTATTTTTTTGTTTTTTGTTTTGTTTTGTTTTTGTTTCCCAGGGCACCTATTGATAACAGCTTCTGCTGACAGGTTTACCCTGGTTAAATATGTTATTATTATTATTATAATTATTATTATTATCATTATTCATGTCGGTTTCAGTCATGCTCTTGAAAGATATTAATCACTGTTGATTCCCATTGGCCAGAGTTTGTTTACGAACGGGAGATTACTGACAATAGGTAACAAGTGCAAACCTGAATACATAATAAATTTTTCACTAGCTACCGGTATCATGCAATCAACAAGGCTGAAACAAAAAACACCAGAATAAGCGGTCGAACACCTTGTAAAACAACATCAGCACCTTCAACAAAACCACAAACGCGAACAAATTAAAACAAATACGGAAACATTTCATTGCCCGCAAATCAGCGAATGTTTGCCGATTTGAATTTTCAGTTAGTAAAGGTAAACTGATTCGCATCTTCAGTTTTTCGATGCGATATCACGTCAACGAGTTTTTTTGAAATTTAAAGCGAACAAATCAAGATCAAGTGCACTCACATTCAAAACTTTAGTTCCACCAGATACGTATCCAAGACAAGCATCGTAGTCTTTCATGCTACTGCTTTTCTCCTTAGCAAAAGCCAGTGTCACCCAACCCGTCGCTTTCACCTCGAGCGCAATGTACATCATGTTCGATGTAGCATTGTGAGTCCAGTAGACCTTGAAATTATTTCCATCCAAGGATGCTGTGTTGCTATACTCTGCAGAGAGATTTGCCAGCGAACCCATGTATAGCAACAGAAGAGAAAAAACTTGGAGCTTTATCATCACGGAGAACTGAGAAACTCTGTTCTTCGAGTGCTAATGTGAGTGACTTCAAAATGTTGATGGGTCTTTACATAAATACAGGTAATTTGAATATTGCTTCGTCATGCCACATTGAGAGGGACTGAGCCCGACCAACTCTTCCTCAGGTATCAAGAATCTTTAAAAGTTGATGAAAACCTGTGGACGCACGATCTTGCTATGTAATGATTTCACAAAACTTATGTGTAGTATAGCAGTGCTTATTTTCACAACAAATTGGTTTAAACTATGACCGTTTTTGGGAAAGAGATTTATTTACGAGCAAGGCCTGCTTTTCTCTTA